GAAACTGAGGCACAGAGAGGACCAGTGATATGGCCAGGTGGCACAGCCACAGTGAGAAGGGCGGTGCAGAGAAGTCCAGCTTCAACCCCAGCCCTTTACCCGTCTTCTCCTGGCTCTTCTCAACGCTCATCCCAGCCTGGAACCCCTAGCCAGGGATCCCCCTGCCTCGCTCAGCTCCCAGCCCCATGCTGAGCCCAAAGACAGGCAGGCACAACTCTCTCTGTAACTGATCCCAACAGGGATGAGGATGAGTCACTATTTCTACTCCCGGCCCCGCCTTCCCCATACCAAGGCTGTTGGGGGTAGCCGTGGGGGAAAAGGAAGGTAAGAACAGAGCCATCCCCACTTCCTCTGGCCACTGCAGAGTTCCCAGCATCATGTGATCCCGGAGGACCGCTCCTGCAGGCCATTCCCAGGGCTCACTCAGGCCACTGCAGCCTTGGGTCTTAGTTTCTCCAATTTCTGTCAAATGGTAGTATTTTTTTCCAGTTTTATGGAGATATATTGACATATAACATTATATTAGTTTAAGGTATACAACATCATGATTTATGTATCTATTGTGAAATGATGACCCCAATAAGTTTAGTTGACATCTATCGCTTCACATTGTTACAAACTGTTTTTATTTATTTATTTATATTTTTTAGATGAGGCGACCCTTGGTTGACCTCACAGATTGCAAGGACCTTGTCAGCTTACAATCCCTTATTTGTTATGCCTACAGCACCTGGTCTTTCTAGGGGGTCTCCCATCCAAGTGCTAACCAGGCCCGCCCCTGCTTAACTTCCAAGATCAGACAGGATCGGGCTTGTTCAGGGTGGCATGGCCATAGACACAAACTGTTTTTTTTTCTTGTAAGGAGAACTCTTAGGATCTACTCTCTTAGAAACTTTCAAATAGACGATGCAGTATTGTTACCTACAGTCACCATGCTGCACATCACAGCCCCAGAACTCACTAATCTTGCAACTGGAAGTTTGTGTCTTTTGACCCACTTTGTCCATTTTCCACACCCTTGGCAGCCACCAATCTGTTCTCTGTTTCTGAGTCTTTTTTTTTTTTTTTAAGATTCCACACATAAGTGGGATCATACAGTATTTGTCTTTCTGTCTGACTTATTTCACTTAGCATAATGCCCTCCGGTCTCATCCGTGTTATCACAAACGGCAGGATTTCCTTCTTCTTCTTTTTTTTTTTTTTTTTTATGACTGATGTAAAATAGTAGTCACAAAGACCCTTCCAGCCCAGACTCCTGGGACTGGTTACAACAGACTCCCCAGGCTCCTTCCATCTCAGGGAGGGGACCTACTCCATTGAGGTACCTTAAGGAGACATGGAGCAGTGGGGAGGGAGACAAAGTGCCATCAGTCTGCAGGCCGGGGCGGGGGGCCCAGGTTCTCCACATACCCACATTTACAGTCTGGCAGAAGAGGTAAATCAAAGCTCCAATTCCTGGGATGTGATCAGAGGCTGCTAAAGAAGAAGAGAGAGGGTGCTGGAGCCTGGGGCATCCTTGAAGCGTGAATGAAAAAGTCGATCCCTGTCTCTGTGGGCTTTGTGGCTGGTGTAAGGAAGACGATAATAATACAGTATTACGAATGAAACATGGGAAAACCAAAGCCTTGACAATGACCTGCATGGCCTTCCGCTTTGTACCCCGTTTCCTTCTCCGGCCTCCTCTTCTTTCCTATGCCATTCCTCATGCTCACTGTTCTTGGAACATTCTGGCCCACTCCTGCTGACCAGGGACATTTCTGTTCTTGGAGTGGAAGCAGCAATGAAGAGGTAAAGAAAGCAAGAAATGGGAAATGTCTGCTGGAGTCAAGTGCCGAGAAGAAAATAGCACAGAGGGGTTTGAGCAGGTGCATGGGAACCATGCAGGGGGGGCTCTCCCTGTGTGGATGCTCACGTCGCAAAGGAGGTGCCATCTGATGTGAGACCCGAAGAGCTAGGAGGAGCCTCAATGCTAAGAACTGAGGGACAAGAATTTTAGGCAGAGGGAACAGGCTGGACGAAGGCCCTGAGGTAGAAAAGCTGACCAGTTTCAGGAAGAGATTGAGGCCAGTGAGCGGAACAATGGGAGAAGAGTTTGGAGCAGCCGGCGTTTGTATTTTATTCCACTTACGTGGGAAACCTTTGGAGGGTTTTAAACAGGAGAGGAAACTGTGCTGTTTTTAAAGTGATCCCACTGGCTACAGAGGGGACTGTAACCCAGAGCCCTGTGGGTGAGCGGGGGTGAGGCTTGGACCATCGGGGTCAGAGGTGGTGGGTCGTGGACTGGTTTGGGACCTGGGGATGTGTTTTGCTATGAAGCAGAAAGAGGACTGGTGTCCCTACGCCCATGTCACAGCTCAGAGGCCGTCTCTGCATAGGGAGACTAGTATGCCTATTTTACAGATGCAGAAATTGTGATGGGAAGGCATTTATCCAAAGGAGACATAACTGAAGTTAAATGTAGATCCCTAGGGCACTTTCTCTGCTTCTAGACAGTCTCCCTCTCAAGGTGTGGCTGAGATTACTCAGCACCTGGTGTTTGCAGACAAGGAAATTGAGGCTCCAAAGAATAGCACTCCTGGCAGTGAGCCTGGGACAGAACCCGGGGCTCCTGGCACAGGGTCTAGACCTCCCGTCTCCCCGCCGTGGTCCCTGCCTTCCTGGTGTGGCTGTAGAGAGAAGATAAACAGGGCAGAACTCACAAGAGAACAATAATAGAGGTGATGCTTAATTGCACATTTCCACCCTCAGTGCTGTGGATGCCCAGGGACTGGAGGCGGATGAGGAGGCTCTGCTTTGAGGGGAAGCGGGTCCATCCCCACCTGCCTCCCACCTGGCTTGATGCCCACTGTGGGCGAGTGTGAATGTGTGTAACTGGGCATGTGAACAAACGTGAGCATGGTGCCCACGGGAACTGCGGCTTCTTCAAGAGTGTCAGGCACCCAGGGGTACTCAACAACTCCTGCTTGGATCCAATGACCCCTTGCTTCTCTGTCCACTTATCTACAGGCCCCTCGGTTTCTATGCCTTCTCTCAGAGCCTTGCTTAGGCTTCTTGATGAGAAAATAATTAACCACAGACACATTTTGCAAGACTTGCATCTCGTTCTCCTGGCCAAGTTAAAATATTCACAACGTGCAGGGCTGCTGGTGGGAGGAGTGCAAGAGGCCAAGGGCACCCTGGGTGACGGAGAGGAAGGGGTGTGTTTGGAGGGAGCCTGGGCACAGAGCTTGGGAGAGGAGAAAGGTGGGGGGCGGGGCTCTGGCCTTGTCCCACTGTGGCCTCACCATGTGAATCTGGGCAATTTCCTTGCCCTGTTGGGTCTCTGCTTCTTCCTCTGTGAATTGAAGAATTTGCACTAGAATTCAGCACTTCTAAAGCATTTCCCCCGGATGTAAACAGGTGATCCTCAAAACAAAAACAAAGTGAAAATAATTAATTATTATTAATGGTTAATTAAGTTTGGGAAATGACACCAGGATATAGAAAGTCAAAACAGTTTCCTTAATGCAGGAGTTTTCAGAGCCTTTAGTCTTTGAAAACTTATCTTTGGGGACAAATAACACATGCACATGGCATTTAATCCTGATGGTATGGAAGGCATTTGGGGAGCTCACGGTTCTTTCCCCTGCCCGTTCTGCCCTTCCCATATCTGCTCTCAGCAGGCACCATTAGCAATTTCCAGTGCACAGAGAGATAGTAACAGCAGCAGATGTGGGTATAGACTTCCTCATAGTAAGTGACCGTGAGTTTCCCAAGGGGGGAGTACCCACGCAGCATTTTTCAGACTTACTCGACTTTGACCATGGACCCACTCCTAAGCATTTCTGAGTCCAGCCTCTGGAGGAATATTCTTTGGGAAATGTGGGGTCCCTGGTCCCCATGTTCTCTGATGAGACTTTATGAAGATGAGGAGTTAGAGGTCTGAGAGTTCAGACTCCCTTCTCTGAGGTAGCCTTTGCTGTCCACAGGCGGTTGCCGGGAAGCTTGAGGGAAGATGCCAGAGCTGGCAGTCTATTTGGGAACACTGAGGCCCAAAAGGGCAAGCATTTGCCCAGGTCAGGAGCGGGTCAGAGGGCCGGGCAGGATCGGGATCTACTGCTCCCACTCAGTGCTCCCACGCAGAGTGCCCCAGTGGCCTCACAGCTGAGCAGGGCCATAGAAGTGCTTTGGACATGGGAGAGCCCTGGAGGAGAGACCTGTGGGTGTTCTCCGAAGCGTGGGAGTCTTCACCTCACACTTCAAGGTCATTTCCAGGGAAATGGAGCAGGCAGGGTTGTGACCGGGTGTGTGACATATGCACAGGGTGAGTGCGATGTGTAGGTTGTGTGGGACCACTGTGCTGTGGGAGCTCTAGGTGTGATGCCGTGTGCTGGTGTGTCACTGTGTGCTGGAGTGACCTGAGCGTCCTGCCGAGGTTCGCGCCAGGTAGGAGCTGGAGCCTCGCGGGGTGGGTGGGGGGCGTGCTGTGGGCGTGGGGAGCGGCGCCGGGAGACCGGGAAGGTGTGTCGCGGCGTGCGGGAGAGTGTGAGCGTGCGT